AAGTTCCTTCTCTTCCAGAAAAAGTTTTAGTCAAGGACACTCAGCAATGGTCGATGCAGTGACCCTTTGCTTGTTTCATTTATCCTCTTTGACATTCAAGGCGGTAAGAATGCCATGGACCAAGTGTTAGTCTGCTTTCCCTTCTTTATGCGATAACTTCACTGTCATCCAAGACGTTTCTTTACAGTTAGACTTTAATCTCAAATTATCCAAATGCTTTGAGTGTATTTTATCTTTATCGAGTTGCACCCATTCCTCGCACATCGACGGTGCTATCATTCGTAGCGAGAATACCATCGATGGTTTTACCAAGGAAAAAAATCACAGATGGTTTTCGCATATACTCAGGACTATTGGTAAACGCAGTCGTGTCTTTTTCCAAATTCCCAGGTTGAGGAAATTCACTGCTATGCAGTCTGTCGTCTCTTTTGTGTGTGTGTGTCTTACTCATTATTCACCATTACAGCTAAACTGGTTTTATATATATGTTCACATACGTCGAGGGTGTTGCCGTGGTATGATTTAATTCTATGAGAAAATAGGAGAACATCGTCAGCCATTGAGCAACACATTGTTTTTCGATCTGTTTGCTATATGCGTAATTCCCAATAGATTTCTTTGATAAGAGGGAATCTCCTCTCCGGACAAGAAAAGCCAGGTGGTTGGAAGGGGGAGATGAAATATTTGCAGGGCGGGTTCACATGTTCACTATAGTCTAAAGACTAGCTAATTTGTAATTTGCTTGTGAAAAAGAGGAAATCAAATGTGGAAATAAATGAAATCCACTAATGACATCCGACATGTGTGGTGTGCTTTGGACAACCTTTGACGACCCCATGTACCCGCACCCAATGATCGTCACAGATTTGGGTGTTTTCTGCACAAATCCTTTCAAAGAATGCTTGCATACTGAATCACCTTATCTGCGTAATGGTCACACCCAGTCCTGCTGCAACCGCAACTCGAAGGGGTACGAGATAGACACTGGCGATGCGGAACACGCAGTCGTGAAAAAAATGAACGGTATGTCACGTTTTTTATTTGCAATGTTAGTGCCAAATTCAGTAGTCCCTCTGGGATATTCACTTGTATACAACTTAGTGCGGTCAATGTGCGGACCACGAAGATGAATTCATTTTGGCTGAGAAAACAGTCGGGAATGACGAAGCAGATGAGTGTGGATATTTGCTCGAACTGCACTGTTTCGGCGATAATCTTCGATCTGAAGGGAACTAAAAGTGACTTACCTCACGGCAAAATAGCGCATTCCTCCTTCTTCACCGCATTTCTTCCAGTCTGCTCTTCCAGACTACTCTTAATTATGGTTTACTCTGTACTGCAATTTCATATCTATATAAACTGTAGTATACTGCAGATTTGCTGTGAAACCCTGAAGCAAATATGGGTCAGAATGTACACCTCGTCAATGTGGTACATTTTTGTCATAAATGTTATTTGATAGGTTGTCAATCCCATAGAATATAAAATTGATATGTTCCCAAATAAAAGTGATCTCAAATTTAAGAGAACGTAGTGCAGCGAACAAGCTCGTTTGCGGTGAATCTTCTACAGGCCAATCCATCACAATTTACATCAAACTTTATAGCAGGGGGTGAGACATGACATTTTTGGAAAAGAGCTAAACCACATTCCAGTTCCATGACCGGATGTTGCTCACACTTTGGTCCTCACACATGCTCACGGGTTCGGGTCATTGGGGGTTGGTGGGGAGATAGCTGTGTCGTGTGTAGTGTTAGCCATGGAAGACCGGGTGTTCTTACGATTTTTTTTTCGATGGAGCACATGCGGGATAGGGTGGGGGTGGGGGTATAATGTAAGCCAATTTCGATCGCTTCCGCTGGGACCAGAATGTGACCACTTCACAAGCACTGATGATGTCACCTCGATTGGTGATGAAACGTTTGCAAACAAATTGCCAAGCTCGGCGAACAGGTGAAATAGAGTTCAGTCCATTCGAACGATGAGAACCGACTTTCAATACTTTCTCAATATTTCTTTTTAATTCATCATCATAGGATATTGGTTTAGTAGACTGCCTACCGGGGGGGNACACAACTTTCCAGAGCTGTTCAGGAATCTATGTGTACCCCCGATTTGAGGACCTTCTATTCAATTTGTTCGACGTTTGGTCAAGGACTTGAAGGAGGCGTGATATCAATCCGAAGGTTTCCGGTAGATCAACTTATCAATATTGACCATCATAGGGTTACAGTAAGCTTGCGGGATTTAATAATAATAATAATAATAATAATAACAATCAAAGCACGCCCACTCAAACCAGCTGTCATCACAATCCACCACCAGTATGTTCTATAAGCTCAATCAGGGTTTGAACCACCACGATGGAGCATGTCACACTTTGAATAGATAATCGATCCGATTTATTGAATGCATTGAATGTGGCTCCCACCCCTGATTGTGCCTCCTGATGAACCGTTGTCGACCTCTAGAACTCTGAATGAACTGTTTGTTTTAGAAT